ATTTCCTTAGATGTAGCATTTGCCTTAGATGTCACATTCTTTTTAAAATATCCCCCCTATAAAAATATATGCCAGAAACACATTTTATTTTTTGAAAAATTACAAAAACCCCCATTCACTAAACTTTCTTTACACCTCCCCCAACCAACCAATTTTTTTATGACAACTTTTATAGCAGACTAACTTTTCTCAAGTTAAACATAGTTTGGAGGATGAAAACACCCTTATACATACATGAAGGGGCCACAATCACCAATGACGGACCGGCACATATTATTGCTGGAACTCATACAACAATAACTACCGGACCACATGCAAATTATGCGGGCCGACGCATTATAGCGCCAGACCGGCAAAACTGCAAGACCGCCGCAATAATCAACTAGACCAAATTTACAAGTGTCGGTCTGAGGCATCATAACTGTCAGACCGCAACAACAATATGTCAGATCACATTTACAATGCCTGGCCGATGGCATTCAACTACCAAGATGAGAGCATTTTGGTCTAAAGAACTATGACTTCTTAACTTGGGGGTATTTGCTATAAAGTTCATTTTGGGCTAAAAGTTGCGATAAAAAAAGTTGGTTGGGGACGTTGTAAAGAAAGTTAAGTCCAAGCGGTTTTTTGTAATTTGTCTTTTCTTTTTCTTTTTTTTTTTCACCGGCCCCAAGGCACTTTTAGTATAATTTAGGATGTAGGCTCCCTTTTTAAATAAAATTAGAAAAGTAATGTGAAATTTTTCTCACTTGTGCTCCCTCTCTATTTCTCTCTCTCAAAAGTGTAGAAAAATTTGTTTTTTTGAGATAATTGAGTACAGGAGACTTCTCAACGAGAATGGCCTTGGGGCGAATGTTATACATGGGCATTCCATAATTTTCCCTTGAAAATACTGCATTCTCATGCCACAAGTATTAGGGATGAACGAGGAGCAATTGATGGGCTCGGCCACACTCCGAGAATAGAAACATAACATTATAAGAGCGAATAATAATAATACTAAAAAAATTTCATCAAAATCATTTCATGCATTAAAAAGAACTTCATGAAGATTTCGAGGAATTGAGGAAATATAGATCCTCATATTAAATTCATACGGAATTTAGTTCAAAAAATACGCTTTTTTTTTTCTTGCCTATTTAACACACAAGAATAGTGTTCAGATTATCGACTCGGCCATGGTACTCGAACCTTGGCTAAGGTGAGTTATTCGACCGAGTCCGAATAACTCGGCCAAGTTCATGTCATGTTAAACAACAACGACAACAACAACAAAAGGAAATAAATTATAAGATACTTATGCCTTTTAACAAAGAAAAATTGTTTCATGCATGTTAAACCGCATTTCTACATATGTGGTCTAGAAAGTGTAAAGCATCCATCTTAAAGATGGATACAAGTAGGTGTTCCATCTAAAAAAAATAAAAACTAACGGTCTAAATATTTTCTTACTAGAATTATAATTTTTAATTTTTAAATTTTTTTTTTTTTCATATTCATGATCTCCATGTTAGAGATTACATGTCCTTAAAAATTAAGTCCTAAAATCCTTTTCAAAATAGATTTATTCAGAGGCCCGCATTTCTACCTATGCTGGCTTGGCCACATAGAAACCGGGTCCCCTTTCCAATAAGGCCCAAACCATTGGTTGTGGTTTTGAATCATGCGGTTGAACCGTGTGGTCAAAGATATATATTTCTAATAAAATAAGTCAGCATCTATTTTTAATAACCCGTTTTCAAACATGTATATTTTTTAATAAAATAAATCAGGGCTTATTTTTTATTTTTTATTTGTTAATAAAGCCAGGATTCAAACCTTAGACATAAGAATGCAATAGATCGTGAATAATAGCAAAAAAGGCCACTCTAACCCCACACAATTATAAAAAGAAAATATATAAAAAATCAGCACACGGTACTCGGCTGAGTCCGATTCTTCTTCTGTGGTGCAGTCTTTTTTTTTATTTTTTTTTTATTTCTAGAAGTCTGACAAGGTCATGAAAGCCAAGAATCGGTTGAAAATTAGAGTACAATAATTTTTTTTCGTTTTTTTGTTAAGTAATAAAAAAGTAAATGTATTCATTCTTTTACCCTTGAACCGCTCCGGGAGTAGTTTCTCGCATGTCATAGTCATACACTTCACCATTTGCAGATGTAACCAACATGAAAGATCCCCCACCAATGCCACTCGATGCCGAGCTAACAACACCGAAGCAACTGCTGCATCAACTGCGTTACCCCCTTTCTGAAGAATCTTGCTACCGATTTTTGAACAACGGCCATCGTCTGCCGACACAGCACCATGCATTACTGTGATCACTTCTTTTCTTTTCATGGGTGTTGGGGGCACATAGGCATGGTCATTACCCATAAAAGAAGAGGGTGAATCATCACAAAATACCACATACTCTATCAGAGTCGTATCCTTGAGATCCAGAGTGCTGGGCCATGAGGATGCTTGCTACTAACACAAGAGAGAAACACCTTGAGAATGTGGATTGCCTTAAGGGCCTTAAATACTTTGAGATCGGAATATGAGAGGGAAAGGCAGAAGAGTAAATGTGATGGAGACATAGAAGGGTTTCTTTTGGGTACGTTCATTTAAAAAAAAAAAAAGGAAAAAGAAAACGAAAACGAAAGAAGAAGAAGAAAAGAAAAGAAAAAGAGTAAGTCAATGGGGATTTAGACAAGAGTTTAATGTTAAGCTTTTCTTTTTATAGAAGCCCATATACCAAAAATACGTCTTTCCAACACTATACATATGTACCAAGAATGCATCCTTTTAATATCACTGAAGGGTAGGGGTCCAAATCCTTCGTGACTTAACAACCCACTATTGATATCACAAAATCATAGATCTAAGTTTAATCACATAAATGGGAAACAAATATAACGAAACATGACTCATAATAATTCTCAAAAAAATATACTCAAAAAATGAGGGGCTGAAATGAACGCAATGTAGGAGCAATGTATGTGGAACTCCAAGGTTAGATCAATATGAGACAAAAGTCAGTCATGGTTATGAGTAAATTCTGGCATAATGACGACCTGTAAATTTGAGGTTTTCGAATGTTATGAAGATAAATTTAGCTTCTTATACTAGCAAAAATATCAGAAAATATCCAATAGAACTTACTCAATGAAACAAACCCCATAAACCTCATCACCTAAAAGAGGACACTCAACTCAACCCAATAATAGGATCCAATTTTGCTCACTAGTCTTGGTTTGTTCTCTAGTTTCATTGAATCGGCACATCATTGGGATAGTAAAATATTATCGACCCTAAATAAAAGTTGATTGTGGTCTCCAGATAATCCAAGGGAGAATATCTCGAAGCCTTATGCCGAGTTCTACAATGACTTGTAAAGTCTACTGCACAAACTTATCGGGCGAATGTCACTCAAACTGGATATCACATTTTTTTTTTAAGGAATCAAGGACATATAAGTCGACTTGATAGCGTTGTTAATTTAACCCCTACAATATAGCACTCCACCATAAGATTATAGAAAAAGTTTGGGTGACCCCACTAGTTCATGGAATAGTATAAGTCCAACAGGCCAAATTGAATCTGGATCGATCTGACGAACATTGATGTCTAGTAGTGTTGGAATTTTAATTTTTTTTCTACAAATCCAAATCACTTAAAATTTTATGTATATGTTCTTCTCATCAAGCCGCACCTAATAAAAATCTAAAAAAAAAACAATTCGCCAAAAAGAACTTGACCAAAATACCCCGAAACTTTTCGGGGGTATTTTGGTTAATTTATTTCATGTAAAATAATATTTTGATATTTTTTGAAAATTCACCTATTTTTTATGTACACTCACTTCAAATTTCAAGTGATTTAGATTTGTAAAAAAAACATTAAAATTAAAACACTAACGAACATCCGTGATCGTCAGATCGGCCCAGATTCAAACTGGGCCATTGGTCTCATTTTTTCCTATAAGCAAGTGGACTCACCCTAGCATCTTCCATATATATATATATATATATATATATATATATATATATA